GGGGGCAGCCCGTCCGCGAAGGCGCTCGCCGCGCTCGACGGCCTGGCGGACACCGAGGACGGGAAACTCCACGACCTCGCCGGATCCCCGACGAATGAGGAGATGTTCACCTGCTGGGCGAGCAATTCATGCTCGAATATGCCCATCTTCACGCTTCCCCTCACCGGGTTCGCGCTGGTGGCGGTGAGCACGCACATGGTGCGCCGCGTCTGCCTCGATCCTAACGCCACCGAGGAGGAACTCGACAAGATCTGTGATGAGTTCCTCTGTGATCTCAAGGATTTACCCGCGATGCCGAGCGCGCAGCAGCATAAGATCTATGAAGACGGCATGAAGCTCATGGTTGCGGCTTCCTTCCTGCAGCTTTAGGCTATCAGAGAGAGGAGGGGGGGGAGGGGGGGGGCGGTGGGGGGAGGGACCATCTGCAGCAGTCACGACCGCCTCATTTTCTAGATGGAAATGATACCTGCGCGCAGCGTCGGCAGTGATCATAGATCGGCTTTCGCACGGCCTTCTTTTCATGGTCGCCGTCGCCTCCTCTTCCTCCGTCGTGTAAGCTTTCTTGGCGTTATTCCGTGCTTTTGTTTACCGCACGAAGGGCGTGGATCGCTGCGTTAAGCCGCTTTTACTCACACGCATCGATACACGATGTTGTGCAAAGTGGAGAAACTCCTCATGAGGATATCGAAAAACGCGCGTGAGGGGGGCCCTACTGGATCTAGAGGGGCTGTCTAAATGGGGAAAAAGGGATTTCTTCCGTCTATCCTTTGGTTCTGTTCGATTGGGTGCATTTCTCGGGTTGTACGCAGAAGATAAACCCTGGTTTGATCGACTAAGCACTTCCCATATTTGCTTCATTTAAAGGAAGGCAAATTTAAAAGAGGAAGTGTCCACATTGTGAAGAATGTGCTCAATGAAACACGATTAATGTTTTAAAATTGTTTGGCGGAAGAAATGGGCTTATGTATTTGTGTAAGGTGTCTAGCTGACATTTGTGCAGCGTTAAAAACGGAGAATGCAACGAGACACGGCATAGGCATGTGCGCGTGTATGTCTTTGCACCTATGCTAAGAATGGATTTATGTTTAGTGTGATTTTTTCTTATTTTGAGATTAATCACACTGCTTGCTGGATGTGTAACTTAGCTACCGCTCCATGTTTACAATTACATATTGCAATTATAATTGGAGTGTCCCCATTAGGGGTTTAGGTGCGTATACTTGTAAATATATTTATATTATGAGAGGCGCGACGTAAGTTTTTCTGTGAGAACTATTTATTTCCTCGATTGTTAACCTTTTATGCGCTTCTTCGTGTGCGATGTGTTGTTCTATACCGCATCGATCGTGCCCTGTGTGGACCACCAGACCCATACGGGGATCAACCTATGACATCCTTGCTTGCTATCAGGATCATCCTCTATAATGTGCATCCCCCCCCCTCCCCCCCCCCTCCCCTCCACGTTCCTCCTCCTCCTTCTAGGGCGATCTTCTCGTGAATCTTTGAGTCTATATCAACCAGTAGGGCAATCCATTACATAGCCTACATAGCTTCACGAATCCATCATCTCGAGTCTGAGGTAGCGACAAGGGGTTTCTCGATCAGTCGATTTGCTGCATGGACGCGGACCCCCCGGGACTGTGCGTGGGGTTCGTCGGCCTGGTTAGCCATGACCGGACGCGGGTAATCCTGCCGCTCGCCGCGGCCTGCCACTCCCGCATGCTGCAAAACCTCCTCCAGGCGGTTCACCTCAGCTGTGTTGCGAACGCGCCGTTGCCGCCGCGGTTTCTCCCCCCTCCCTCTCTCCACCCCGACGAGGAGGGGGAAGACGCCTTCGTCTCCTTCGCGGCGGCGTACCCCAGCCTCAACGGGGGCGAAACCCACGCCGCGCCCTTCCTCAACGTACCCCTGCACTGCATGGAGCTCGACACCCTCGTGCGCATTGCGGACTTCCTGCTGCGAAAGGCCTGTGAGGGCTACGTCGTGGCGAAGAGGCAGCGTCAAGTCCAGGCGTACCAGCGATCCCGTGAGGACGGCGGTGGGGCTCCCGAGTCGTTTCAGGAGGAGCCGTGGACCCCTGTCGAGCGCGGCGGTGCCGTGGCCGTGCTGAGGGACCTCGATCGAACCTCGCAGGTGGATCAGCTCAGGGCGATTCAACTCCTCCTCGGCTCCGACTTCCTGGGGTGCTGACCGTGAGGGAGGAGGTAGGGGGGGGGAAGGCGTGTGAAATGGACCAGTGGACAGTAAGTGTGTCCAAATAATCTGCTCGCGTTTGGGGAAATTATTAGGATGATTCGTATTGAGTTGTCCCTGGTCTGTTTTCACTCGCTGATCGATCCATTAGAAGAGGTGGTGGCAGAGCATCTGAGGAAGTACGGGGTTTGGTTCGCAACAACAGCCGTGGTCAGGTAGTGGGAAAAGCATACTGCCAACCATAGGGTTGCCGCGAGGACGGTCTTGACGCTGTGAAGGTAGCCTTTTGAATGGGGGCGTACCCTTTGGAAATGGAAAATTTGTGGTGGTAGTAGTAGCCTCAGGCTGACCATATCCTCACACGGCGGGATTTGCATCGGGCGCCTGAGTTGATTCCCAATATTCTGTGGTGTTTGCCTTTTACAACCTCTTCATGTCTTGGCCATTTCGGCGGACTCGAGTGCTTTTTAAATCTATTTCTGTAGGCTTTTGTTGGCTTCTATGGATGTCAAAAGGAAAAGATTTCCGCACGCAATATAAAAAAGGTATCTCAGAGGGTGTGGAAATGCAATCAACCTTTTCCCTTTTATAAGGACTTTCAGAAAACGGCTTTGTACATTTTTTGCTTTCGTCTGCTATCTCCTCATTTCCCCTTCCCTAATTCCTGGTCCTGCCGTTCGGTGCGTTTGCCCTCAATCCGATATTTTCCTACCCCTCTTCGCTTCATTTGGAATTGAGAATATCACATCTGAGTCTAGCGAAAAACCACGACATATTTTTTTGGGGGTGTGTTTTTTCCCCCTCCTCCCGTAGCATTTCTAAATCATACCTGGCTAGAATTGAGTTCCCACCCAGCTTCCGCGTAGGATGGGCACTGGCGCATCGCGCGAACACGCGTTCGACCCGTGGGGGCGCCCCGCGAACGCCGCGGTGAGCGCCCGCCTGGTGATCAACGGCCGCCCCCTCAGCAAGGCCCCGCAGGTGCGGTACCTCCCCTCCCCTCCCCGCAGCCGTCCGCGAGGGGGGGCGAGCGAAGGGCGGCCGCCCTCCTCCGCCGGTCGACTCCTCGAGGCGCCGGCGAGACGACGGGCCGTCGGCGAGGTCCGCGCGGACGGGATGAGCGCGTCGAGCCTCACGATTCTGGACCTCCTGCAGGACGTCGAGCGCGCGCCGGCGGGGGAGGGGGCGGGGGAAACGACCGAGGCGGGGCTTGCCGCGCTGCGGCGTTGCCACGCGCTGCTCGCGCGAAGCCCGCCCGATCGCGTGGACGCCCTCGCCGTGGCGGTGCATCAAAAGGAGGGGGAGCTGCTCCACCGCCGTGGGGAGCGGCCGGCCGCGAAGCAGGCGTACGGCCGCGCGATCACGACCGCGGAGGGCTACATCGCGCAGCACGCGAAGGAGTGCTACCCGGTGCTCAAGCGCTACGTCCTGGCGATGATGGGGCTGGCGAAAATCTGGCATGAAGACGGGGAGGTGGGGGAGAGGGAGAGAGAGAGAGAGGGGGGGCATCCGATCGCCGCGTGTACGCCGCGGAGGACGTCGTTCCATTCGATCGGGGTCTCCAGCGTCGGCTCCTTCGGGGGTCCGCGTGGCGTAGGGGAGGAGATGTCGGCGTCGACCACCTCGCGTGGATCCCGCGTTCGAATCGCCTCGGAGCCCCAGCCGTTGCAGCCAACGGAAACGCAGCTCACCCGTAAGGAGGAGTCGGGGCCGCAGGGTCGGATGGCGCGCAAGCTGATCGCGTTGCCATGCGAGCTCTTGCTTATACGGTGCTGCGAGGTGGTCGAGATCGCGCATAACTACGAGTCCGAGCTGCTGATCCCGCCCCTCCTGGAGCTCGCGCGGATCTACGAGGACGTGCAGCTCTACGGACGTGCGAAATTGGTTGTACAGCGCTGCCTCGGCACGCTCTGCTGCATCTACGACTATGATCACCCCTGGGTGATTCAATTGAGGAAACGCGTGAGGCGGCTTGAGGCGCTTAGGCGAAAACAGCTGATCCATGAGTCCGCGACGCGAATTCAGGCGACATGGAAGATGTATCGTGCTATGTGCATCCTCGAGATTATCCTCGGTCATCCTGTGCATCGTCACCCGTGGATTCCCTCTAAGTTCCGTGAGAAGCCGGATTCGAGTGTAATCGGCAGTCTTGTGAAGAATATACCCCTCACTGAGGGCTGGGAGGAAGGGGATCTTGCATCTTGGGGTAAGTTCAGCGTGGCGTCTCTCGAAAAAAGCTCCACCCATAGGCGCCTATTCCAAGAAGCGTTATCGCCTACTCAAGAAAGCAGCGACCCTTCGGACCCCGACGAGCTACCTTTGGAGACTCAAATCACAGGCCCGATCGACGTGGACAAGCTGCCGCCGCTCGACATGTCGAACTTCAAGCACATGATCGATACCGACGAGGAGGGGGAAAGAACATTCTTTCTGCCCGGTGTACAGGTGCTCTCGACCATGCAGAAATGCGATACCGACACTTCTGTAGAGCACACGGAGCTTGGAAATGTTATAACGGTGCGCACCACGACGACGAAGAAGATGCTCACCGAAAAAATGAACAGTGATGAGAAAAATGGAAGCGTTGTAGAAGAAGAAACTGAAGAAGATAGGGAAGAAGAGAAAGAAATCATTCAAATTCAGGGTAAACCCGTGCGACAACAAATCAGATTCAAAGCCGACGGGAGTGCATACTGAAGTCGATGAGGGGGATAGTATTCTCGAGAAAGTATCGAATCCACGGCGGACCGATCTAGCTTGGGCTCGTCAGTGGCTTCATGGAGCTGCGACGATCGATGCGGAGCGCCTTCTACGAATGTTTTAGCGATCACAAGGCAGAAGGCAGAAGAACCGTTATCCTGCTTAGTTGTATTCTTTGTTTGGTGGATGCGCGGATGGGTATACCAATATATATATATATATATATATATCATTGTTATTTTAAACAAGATGTGAAATGAAGCCACTAATCTCATGTATATATCAACGTGTATGATCTCCTCTATGCATACTAAATACCATTATTCTTCTGGAACACGTTTTTAATTTTTTTACATGCCGTTATTTACAACTTTGAGATGAGAGCACCTATGGACTCATGATTCACAAAAAGAGGAGCTGTTCTGATCATCCTTTCTGAATACCCTTTAAGGGTAACACGAGCTGAGGAGGGATGAGTCATGGTACTTCACTGCTCTTATAGCTATTGTGGTCTCATCGCGGTGCACATGGTAGCAGATCACGATGTTGGATCCGGCTACAATTATATGTTATTCCTATTTTTGACTAATATCGGCTTTCTGTATATTTTATGTGTAAATCAGCGGAGATGGCGAGACGGCGCTCTGAAAAAGTGAAAGGCTGAGGAAGCGAATCACTCCATCGCGTGATGTTCGGATGGGTAGGGCGTACTTTGTATTCAGTGTGATGTTTGCCGAGAACGAGTTTATTCATTCCTCATATGTTAGGAATATGGGATACACAACCGTACCCAATCAATGTTTTAACCGACAAAGATGAAAACAAAGGTAAACCGTCGAACGAAATGTGTCTCCTCCCTTGTCCTCCAAACATTTTTTTTGCCAGGAAATATGTCGGACGAAGGATAGAAATCTATTCCAGTAGAACGCAGATCGTTAAAGGCAAACAAGCTCCTTCAAGCAAAACCAACCCAACAAATCCGAAAGCCGAAACTTCCCCCCCCACCCCTCCGCGTTTCATCCGACGCATTCACACCCCATCCCGTGAGTGCGTCCGATGCGAAGGTGGATTTCCCCCCT